TTGCTGTGAATTGTTGATGGAGTCTTTAAACTTGTAGTTGCTGTTTTCCAGACTGAAGCAGAGTCGTTAGCTGAAAACTGGTTTTAGAGGTTCATTCAGGACACCTTCTCAGGCTCTTACAGCCTTACCTGTATCATAACAAAGTGTATAAACCCCAATCCACCTTTAACATGGTCCTTCTCCCAAACCTTCAAATAGGACTTTCTGGCCCTGTCATAGTAAAGGGCTGCTTAGAATATTAGAGCCAATGTCACAAAGTTCCTCCTGAAGTATAAGTGAGTGAGAGAGTTTCCTCACTTTGCAGCACAACACGTCTCACAAGATTTCTACAAGCAATCAGAGTGAAATTTGTACTTTGTGTTGTCAGATGAACATATGAGACACTTTGACTCTTCAGTGCAGTGTGGAGCCTAACAAAGATCTGTTTTGTGTCCCAGCTGATCAGCAGGAGGAGAAGAGTCTGACGGAGCAGCAGAGGAACATTTTCAGCCATCTGGACTCAGCTGAGTCACTACAGAGGAAACAATGAGCTCAACACAGGAGGTGAGGAATCTATGGCCCTTTCTCAAATCTCAAGTTTGATTTGTACAATTGGAACACCAGTGTACTTAATGCGATTTTTACTGAGTTTTTACCATTATAGCAGTTACATAATAGGTCCCCTATTATGTAACTGTGCTATAATATGTTATGAGGCTTAACTTTAATCTCAGCCAAACTGATTTACTCAGGAACAATAAAACAATGAAATAAATCTAGACACTTATATATTATGTTTAACCTGCGGGGGTCTGAAAATGGTTTGTGGGAGTCCGCTGTTCTTGCCGGGCTCAAATGATCCTCGTCTGCTATCGAGCTGGTGGGTAACAGACGTGTTCGAAAACATCTGAGCACTTTTGTAAATATGTGATGTCTTCTCGCCTAAAGAAGTACAGATATTAGTGTTATAAATACTTCAGTAAAAGTATTCATTCACCTTCTTTACTTAAGTAACAGTGAAAAAGTACAGGCTCTGAAATGTAATCAGAGTAAAAAAGTAAAAGTAGCTCCTTGAAGAACATTTTAACCACATGTTTTTATCCAAAGTTAACTGAACCTTGTGCTTTATTAATGTAATAATAAAATAAGATTAGTAAATGAAGTACAAACTATTTATTTCTAATAAAGGTTCTCTGTTTGAATCAGTTAAGTAGAAAATGAAGGAAAATAAAACATATGTGTATTTTCTGTTGCCTACATTGTAGAGGGTGACTTTGCCTCTAAACAGGAACATGAGCAGGGAAGAGGTTAAAGTGGGATTGAGCAGGTGGGAACCCTAAAATCAGCTGTAGTGGCTCAGCGTGGGGAAAAGAATCACAGCCCCTCCCATGATTTTAATGAACAGCACACAGAAACACTACATATGAGTGGGTGGCGAGAGGTATGGGGTCTTCACACCCCTGTTCTCTGTTCACCATGAGGGGCCAGGAGGAGTCGCCCATCTAGTCGGGGTCTGGGATGCTGGGCCTCTCTGCTGCTGCAGGACTGGGGACGGTCTGCTTGTCTCCACCCCAGAGCACAGGGCAGCATCTCCTGGGTCTTGGGAGCAGATTGCCCCTCCGTGGGTGATGGCACCTGGACCTGGGGATACAGAGTGGGGGAGTGTTAGTGTGTGCACAGTGTATATTTGTGTTTGTCTCCACGTTGGACGAGTGCTGAGTATTTTTATGGGTGTGCATGAAGGTGGGGATGCATGATTGTGCCTGTTTGTCTATGCTTATATGTCAAGTCTGGTCTTAACTCCACCTCTCTGGGAACATCTCAGACCCCCCCCCCAGGTGTGGCGGTTTAGGCGCTCAGCTGTGTACTGGCTCACTCCTGGTGGCTGCTGTGGCTCAGTCGAGCCCCTTCCAAACATTTTCTTTGGCCTTCAGACAATAAATCTTATTGTTACGGTGCCAAACTGGACAGGGGTAAAAAACCCTCAGGAAATCACATGATAGGGTGGAGTTAAGTTTCATAATAGATTCACCTGAAACCTTGGCTGACTGTGACCCACACCTGTTTTTACACCATGGCTGGTGTGATCAGGTAGAGGATCAATAGGGGTCCATGACCCTTTTTGGGGGAAACTCCCATTAAGTTTAAAATCTGGGACTCTCCACCATTTGACCCTAGCACTGAAGAAGATTCTGGGATGAGAGGTGAAACGTCTTCAAGCAAGCTTGAACATGCTTGCCTTCCAAGCTCCTTAGAGTACGATGACCTGAATGACTAAGAACCTGTTAACTATTACAATGGATCTGTTGTCATTGAACAAACTAATATCAGGAACGGGAAATATTTAAAAAAAAGCATAGACCTGTAAACATTTTTTACTATTATGAGTGTTTTAGCATGTTAGCATTAATATTTGTGAGTAGGGATGGGCATGATTTTACTGTTTGAACAGTCATCCAACCTGGTCTTAATTATTTTTAACACCAGGTTGGGTGTAATGTGTTAGAACTACCAGCAGGTGGGGATAAGATGCCTTTAAGGTGTTTGGTGCCACACTCCACCTTCAGGTTTAAAACTAGTGTTAATGGAGGGAGTTTGAAGGTTGAGTTTGTTCCACGACTGCATTTCACTCACTGCCTCTGTTTGTATCTCTGTCACTGCAGGACCAACATGGAGCGAGAAGTCAGCGCTCTCAGGAGGCCGACAAACCTCACAGAAGAAAGAGAGAGAAAACATACAGCTGTGACGAGTGTGGGAAGGAGTTTACTGTGAAGTATAAACTAAAACGTCATCAGGTCATCCACACTGGAGAGAGACCGTACAGTGTGACTTGTGTGGAAAGTTTTTCCTGGAAGCTTTCCCTAAAAGCACACCAGGTCATTCACAGTGGAGTTAAAGCGTACAGCTGTGATCAGTGTGGCAGAGCTTTTTCTCGCAAGAGCAGCTTACAGCGGCATCTAGTTAGTCACTCTGGAATTAAGGCATACAGCTGTGAGATTTGTGGAAAAACCTTCAGCCGGCCGTTCAGCCGAACCATACACCTACGCATTCACACCAGACATGATGTGTACTGGTGTGATCAGTGTGGCAAACAGTTTATAACAGACACACAATTACATGGCCACATGTTTACCCACACTGAGGAGAGACCTCATAAATGTGACCTGTGTGAGAAGACTTTTAAATCTCCACATTACCTGAGACGACACCAACAGATCCACACCAGAAAGAGACTCTACAAGTGCAGTTACTGTGAGGTATGTATTTATATTGTTATCTTGTCATTTTAGCCTGACTGTTTGGAACAACTCTGCTCATTAAACTGTGTTAGCATGTTAGCAATTCTACTGCATGGAAAAGCAGCTCTGAGTGATTATTCAGATTTTCATTTCAGTTATGATTTTTGTTTACACGATCATGAAAAACTAAAAGTGCTGAAAATTAATATGATGGTGTTATTTAATGTTCAGGCAGTTTCCTGGTATATAATGAATTGTTATTATTTCCACATAAATGTCCTTTTTCCGTTAGCGAATGATACCATACAAATATCATCTAAATAAATAATATAATATATAATATATATATATTAGGGGTGCAACGATATTCGTATCGATATTGAACCGTTCGATACAGTGCTTTCGGTTCGGTACGCATATGTATCGAACAATACAATTTAAAAAATTAATTTTTTTTTTTTTTTTTGTGTCCCGTTTGGATCTATAGCCATCAGAATTGTTGTCTTGAGGCCAAGAAAGATGCCAAGAGGATTTATTTTAAGTGGATCATCATATTGGTCCATTTGATTGACCTTTATTATAATTATGAATTTATTTTATTTTCAGTTGCAAACGGGACAGACATGACTGTGGGATAGGACAGGGGGAAAGAATGAAAGAAAGAGGGGGAGAGAAAGAAAGAAAACCAAAGGGGAGAAAAAAAAAAGAATACAAAATTTGTAATTTATTTTATCAACTTTCCTTCTGACGATGCTGTCTGTGTTGAGCGCTCAGTGAATCTGCATTTGACTACTCCTGCCTAGGCTCGAGAGTGCAGCCTAGGCGGAGTAGTCGAACGCAGATTCACTGAGCACTCAACACAGCCATGGTCAGAAGGAAGAGCGCAGGGCAAGCTAGCGAGACAGAAGTGGACCTCCCCACCCTCATTCAGATCTGGCGTTTGGAATTATTTTGGTTTTCATGTGACGTATGACCCTGAAGGTAAGCGAGTCATGGACTAAAGTAAAACAGTATGTTGGATGTGCCATGCAATGCTCAATTACATGGGTGGGAGCTAGTGTGTTAGCGCAGTTAGCTCGTTAACGTGTTGGCCGTCTAGCCCCTCTGTATAGGGTAGCTCGTTAACGGAGATTTGCCGTGTTGTGGCGTTAAGGTTATTTCAACGAGATTAACGCTGACAGCACTAGTGGGAACACAACGAATATGACTGCACATTTACACCGACATCATCCTAGTGCAAAGACAAAAACAACAAGCATGCATGCTACAAACTTTAGCCGAGTCATTTAGACAGCTGTTAGCACAGGATTCTCCTTATGGAGACCTGATATGTTTAATATGCTGCTGAGAATATAGCCCAGAAGAAGCGGATAGTATAGCTTTTATTTTGGAAAGAGACATTTCTCTGTAATAAACTCTCTTTTCCAAAGATGAGTGATTCCTCAATCAGATACAGGGCTCGCAATATCGCTAGCCCGGGGCTAGCGATTTTTTTCAGTCGGGCTACCAAAATCTATCTCTTCCCTGCCTGTCGGGCTATTGTAGGAAGGAAAAATATATGTCAATGCTTTTGCATTCTTTCAGAAATGTAGCTGGGTAATTATGTCATTGGGTGAGCCACTGTCAATATGTGACATATTGAAATCGTGTTTGGATTTGCGCTTGTTTTTTTGCTTTCACTTTGCAATCGCGCGAACTGTGTATAGAGAGCGACAGCACTGATCTGTGAGTGATGATAATTTGTGCACCAATTCCTCTGACATCGTCTTATTAATTGTTAGCTTACTATGCAAACATGACAAGTGAAATCTCCCGCAGCTTAAACATGTGAGAGGTTGATCGCGCAGAGAATCGCTGAGCTTATGTGAGTGCGGCAGGATATATATTTCACTACGATGACCTGGATGATTGAGAACCTTCACAGACAGATATATATTTTAGTTCTGCTGAGCCAAATAAGACAGGTCAGGGTGAAGAAGTGACAGCCAAAGAAAAGCTTACCACAAAACGGAGAAGTTATGACAAATCAGACTATAAGGCAAAAAGAAAGTGCAGCTTTATGGTTTCATGGACAAAAGAATTTCTGTGGCTGCAATATGACGAGCTAAAAAACAACACGCACAAGGGTTAGGGTTAAATTTAAAAACTGTACTTTTGTGTTAAAATATATATTTATAATTTTAATAAATGACAAATTAAAAGGCATGAACATTTTTTTTGTATCGAAAAAATATCGAACCGTGACACCAAAGTAATCGAACCGAACCGCGTGAATTTTGTGTATCGTTGCACCCCTAATTATATCATATATCATATATCATCATCATATATTATTCGTATATATATATTTTAATGATATATATAATATATACTTTACATTGAGCAGCAAGAAATATTTATCACGATATACATTGAAAATTTGCGATAACGATATAACTGACGATATAATTGACGTGAGACAAAATACTTTACAACTCCACAACATTATTAGAGGAAAAAAAAGACATGAATTTATTTTGTATATAAAAATTTAACAGTGCAAATGCAAATTCCTTGCTAACATTTTAACCAAATGGCATTTCTAGTGGAAATTGGCTGACATATCCTCAGCATAACCATGTATAATATCCACAAAACTTTGTATCATAAAACTGAAGTGTCCCGTATTCTCTGGACCGTAAGGTGCATTAAGCAAAACAAAACGGTCAGATAAGTCAAGCTTTACTCAACTCATTCTTCTTGCTTCCTCCACTTCCGTACCATTGATTCATTAATGTTGAATTCTCTTGCAGCTGCTCTATTCCCATGTTCTAATGCGTGGCTGACAGCCTTGACTTTGAAATCAGTTTCATAAGCATGTCTCTTAACAGGTGCCATTTTGGGGTCCTTATACACACAACATATGGCAATATTATGTTAAAGCACTGTACGTATTACTCTGCAAGGCTCCTGACTACAGTAGCCCGTAGTGCTCCAACAATCCATCAAGGATGCGGCTTCGTACTGACTTACACTGTCTTTGTGTCTTTGTTTAGAAGCAGAGCGACACAGGTGGATCCAGTTCTCAACCCTGTCATCACTGTGGTGGTGGGAAAGACTTCCTCTGTGACCTTTGTGGGAGAACTTTCATTCTTCAGCGAAGCCTAATACTACATCAACGTAGACACACTGGAGAAAAACTGAACTACTGCAAAGAATGTGGGAGAGGCTTCCCCAAACCAAGTGACTTAAAACAACATGAACTGATTCACAGTGGGGTTAAAAATCACCTCTGTGATCAGTGTGGGTCATCCTTCATTAGTGCCAGTAGCCTTAAAATACACAAACGTGTCCACACAGGAGAGAAACCATACAAGTGCAGACACTGTGACAGAAGCTTCTCATGTTCATCTGCTCGTAACCATCATGAACGTACACACATGGAAGGAAACTACAGCTGTGACCAGTGTGACAAGACCTTCAGGAATCTCAGTTCATACTCCAAACACAAACAATCCCACGTTACTAATAAACTGTTTCACTGTTACCAATGTGCCAAAACATTCACTTCATTATCTGCTCTGTGCAAACATCAGCGTGATCACTCAGGGCTGAAATCACTCCCATCACTGGATCACAGTGAATCTGCAGAGACAGAAAGATCCTCTGGTTTCAGGGTCAGACTCAAAACCCTTGAGATCAGGCTCCACAGAGTTCAGATGGAATCTCCTGTAAAGATCTAATCAGGTAACTTTGAATGAAAATGTTCTGCTACTTAAATTTTAAGCTTTCTACACTGTTCTGCGTCAGTGTTCGTGGCGAATGGTTAGCTTTGTTCCAGCAGTTGGATGGCCTGCATTTGTATAGCGCTTTTCTAGTCCATAGGACCCCAAAGCGCTTTACACTACATTCAGTCATTCACACACTGGTGATGGCAAGCTACATTGTAGCCACAGCTGCCCTGGGGCGCACTGACAGAGGCGAGGCTGCCGGACACAGGCGCCACCGGGCCCTCTGACCACCACCAGTAGGCAAACATGGGGTTAGTATCTTGCCCAAGGATATTTGGCATGCAGCCAGGATGCAGCCTGGGATCGAACCACCGACCTTCTGATTAGTGGCTGACCTGCTCTGCCACCTGAGCTACAGCCAGGATGAACAAAACTGTTGTCATGTTATCAAGTTTTTATTGCATGTGTTTTAAAACATGTTCTGCAGATGTTTTCTTGTTCAGGCTGTGCTCTGAAATTCTGGAACGGTAAAATAAAAAATTAAAATAAAGTTTGAGCTGTGATTTCATTTCCTGTATTTCAGAGTAAAGGCTGAAGTGACAAATGGAAACATGTTTACAGTCAGTCAGATGAACTGTTTTCAGTGGCACAGATGGAGGTTTATCAGAGGAGGAGACTTGGCTGTCTCTCCACTCACACTGAACAGGGTTCCTGCAGCTTATTAAAAATCTGACCTGAAAATAAGATCTTTGAAATCATCACTTTTTTATTTAGTTTTAGACTATAGAACAAAGAAAAAAGGTAATGCTCATACACACCCAGCACACTGAGCAAACAAAATTTCAGTAACTTAATCTCTGATTACAGCTATACACTGTTGGAGTCAAATTGTTAAATGTTGGCATTATTGTACCTAATAAATTGTAAGTGGTAAACTAGAGATGGCACGATACCACTTTTTTATGTCCGATACCGATATCATAAATTTGGATATCTGCCGATACCGATATGAATCCGATATAGTGTTTTTTAATCAACAAAACTGTTTTTTAAATATCTTGCTGCATTTTGTATAAGTTCATACTCAAGTTTAAAACAACAACTACACTAAAGCTATTCTGTTATACCTGTATGCAAAAAAAATATTTCATAGTTCAGCAATACTGATCAATCTAATAAACTTAAACCTACACCATCCTCCCTATTCTGGTATTTTAAAGAGTACTTAGCGTAAATATTAAGCAACCTAACTAATAGGGTTCCAACTCCCAGCAACAACAAAAATAAATAAATAAAAAATAGGGAACCACCCCTCACGCTCCACCTCATGATGCTTAATCGACGTAATCAACCTTAATTTGATGCAGTGTGAAAAAAAATGCACAGAAATCAATTATTTTTCAAGAAATATTAAATAGATTCAACATCTTTCTTCAACAAAATTGCAGACTGCACAGATGGTACCTTCCCAAAGGAAAAAGTACTATAGCTTACTAGGGTATATATAGACTTAATAGTTACTATATACAGTAATTGACTTCTATTCATTTTACATCAAATTAAAACTTTGGGTGTCAGATAATTATTTATTAAAAGCTAGACATTTTAAATGAGAATAAGAAAGAAAAGTATGTCTTTGTGCCCCCTTTTCCCTGTTAATGCCCTATCGGCCCCCCTGGCTAAACTTTGCTAGATCCGCCCCTGCACAGTTACCAGCCGTCAGCTACGTAGAAAAAGATCCTGGTGTAGAAAGTAATATTAAATAAATTCTAACAACAGCTTATCAAGCTTAAACGTGCTGCTGTTGTTCAGCCGCTGGTTTCCTCTTTCTGGTGCAAAGTGGGCCAAAAACAAACAAGAGAGACGGACTCGCGACAGAAAAGCCGATCAGCTGATCATTAAGCAGTTTCATGATTGAAGTAGCAGCAAGAAGAGGCAGTCTCTTATAATTTAGTATCGAGTTCATTTCCTTGTTTACCAACATTGGGAAGGTTACTTTTAAAATATATTCCACTACAGATTACAGACTACATGACCCAAAATGTATTTTGTAACGTATGTTACTCAATGAGAGTAATGTATTCTGAATACTTTGGATTACTTAATATATTATCACGGTTTTTACAACCACATGAATGCACTATTGCTGTGTGATTTATTACTATTACTGAGACTATTACCAATACCAACTAGATTTTTCAATCTTAATATAAAATTAGTAACAGTAGCATGACTTGGGTAAGGCTGCACTTTTTGCAGTGATCTCATATAGAAAACAATTTCTGTATGTTATATTTTTGTTTTATGTTTGCTTTTTGTCCGCTTTCAGAACTGCAGAACTTCAGAAACATGATTATTTGCAGCTAGCAGGTTGTTAATGCTATCTATCAAGTCTAACAGTCTATGAACTAACCCAGAGCTTCTCAAAGTGTGGGGCGTGCCCCCTGGGGGGAGGGGGAGGGGGGGGGAGCAGGCCCCTGAAACTGAATTTGCATATGCAGGGCACAAACATTCACCTTCCACATGTAGCAGATAAAGTCTCATCATTTGTCAGAAAACTTGAGATGTGGCAGCTGTGAGTGAAAGGTGAAAATGTTGACTCAATTGTGAATTTAAAATTATTCATGTAAGACAAGAAACTGCAGAAGAAAGTAATCTCATGCATGAAACAACACGTCCGGCCTTCAGAAACAATTCCAGAGATATTTCCTGTTGCGGAATTCCAAAGACTACGACTGGGTCCGTGGCCCCTTCAACCCCTGCTGACATCAGCGCATCGTAGGAGGAACAGTTGATTGATCTCATCTCAGATTCATCAAAGAGGCTGCAGTTTAATTCAAAGACTCTGCCTGCTTTTTGGATTGGAGTCGAGAAAGATTACCACTGCTGGGTAAAACGTCCGTCCTTCTGCCACATCCTACTTACTCTGCTTTTCTGCTGTGGCTTCAATCAAGAGGAAATATCGATCAAAGCTGGACATTGAAAATTAAATCAGAGTGGCAGTCTCAAAACTGCAACCCAGGTTTGAGAAGATCTGGAGCAACAGGCAGGCTCAAATCAGTCACTGAAAAATGTGAGGATTAAATTTGTTATTTTTGCACAACAATGTTGTTTTCTTCTCAGGGAGTTGTTTATGTTTTTAAACCCATTTTGCACAGAGAGGCATTTTTTGAAAAATGTATTGATAGCAATGTTGAATATTCTTACACAGGAACAAAACCCAACTTGTAAAGTAATGACACCATAAAGATGTTTTTTCTTTCTGTGATTTTAAAGACGTAGTTTATTGCAACCTGTAATTTATTGCAGTTTACTATTGTATTGAAGTTTGGGAACCACTGTGTTAAAAGCTGTGACACGACGAGGTAAAACAATGCACACAGAGGTCATCGTCCCAACAACAGCTGAATCTAATGAGATGAGGAAACAAAGAACATAACCTTCCAAAATAAAACATGTGAAGTAACTGAAGAAAGAAAATCCAGATTATGAATGAAGTAAATACAAAGGACTTGACACAGAGAGTGACAGAAGCTTAACTAAACAAAAAGGGGAAAATAATGATTATAAACTAGTACAGAGCAAGATAGTAAAAACTAGCAGGACTCAAATTATATGTGCATTTAGAATTATAATGCTTGTTTCACTGACTTACTTGCCAAATAACCAAATTAATGATTTTCTTCACCATTAATTTCCTGTGTTGTTTGCAATAATGTTGAATTGTACTGTTAAATTTGTTTTGTTTCTCTTTGTTTATATCATATTAGTATAACCAGTCATCATAATTTTATAATCTCTCTGATTTGAGTAGGCAGTATGCATACATTTGAATGCTTGTATACTCCATACATGCATGTATACATATGCATGTAGGAACATAATTTCTTTATAGTTTTCCATTACTTAACAGCATAAATTGATACTTTGTTGTTCATACCAGTTTTGTTTTGAGGTTCAAATCCTGAAAATTGGGCCTTCAATTGCATTTTAAAATCTTTGTAAGGTCGTCTCATTAAAAAGTGTTTCAGAGGCAAAGAAGCTAAAAAAAATTGACAGCACCTTATAAAAACACATTAAATTACAGTGTAAATGTAAGTAATTTATGTAGTTTGTAACTTCTAAATAAGTGCAAACACTGGGTCACCCTCAGTACCATGCCATAACCTTACCATCTATTATAATAATTTACTATATTATAGAGTTGCTTGCATCATAACTGTGATTTATTTTGGTGTGCACAATGAATTTTCCACTGCTTAAATATCAAATAACAGAATTTGTAACATTTTCCACCACTATTATGAGCCTGAAGGATTAGATGCAAACAACTTCGTTACCTAACTCAGCATACCTGTTTTCAGTGACGCAGGGTGAGGTTTATCAAATGAGGCGACTTGGCTATTTTCCAGATTGAAATTCCTCTTCGTGCAGGTGTTCTATAGGAGTGGCAAAGTTAACTTGGCAAATGATCAAAAATCTCAAGTGTCAAAGAACCAGTTGAAAAGAGCAGAAAACTGAGGACATTTCTGATTTGGCTTTGGGATGTCGGAGGAGAAGCTGAAATCCAAACTACAACCGAGGGTAAGTGCTGACAATGCTGCAGTCAGAGCGGTATCACAGTGTGTTTGTGTAAAGTTTGCTTCCTGTGATTCTCTTCTTTATCAGGAACCATTTTTGAAAGAAGAATGAAACTGTTATTATTAGTTTTATTGCCAGATTTACTAAAACTCGATCATCAGCCACACTTCAAATCCCAGAAAGGCCCAAAAGCCTGAGCTCATAAGTATGTATGAGATGGTTTATGTTACACAATTTGAAACTGGCAAAGTTCAAACCTACTGAAACAGACTTTGGAGTATCAAAATGTTCTATAGTTAAATTACAGGATCAGAGATTCAAGATTTTTATTTGCCATTTGCGCAGAGCTCTCCGGGTCAAGTTATATTTTTACAAGATAAAAACAAAGCAACTAATGGATCAATCAGTGTTTACTATATACAAAAACACTGTACAGAGAGGATGGTAATGCACTTCTTAGTAGTGCACGCATAACATTGCACATTTACACAAATCTGTTTCAGTGAGTATACTGCAACATCAGTGAGTGACTTAATCCC